GGCGTCCGGGGGCCGGCTCAGCCCGCGCCCCGGGCCCTCTCGGCTGCACCCTCTCCGCTTTCCCCTCGCGGCCTCCCGTAGCCAACCCTGCGCGCCGCTCCCGGCTGGGTGTCTGCCAGCGGGGGGAAGAAATGCACACGTGGTGCCAGAAACCGAGGATAGTTTGCCCGAGACGGGGAGGAACAAAGAGATGGTGACAGCAAGGGGTGTGCGCTGCAGGCCGCTGCGGCGGTGGCCTCCGGAACCGTCCCCGAGGACCGCGGGGATTAGGGTCGTGGAGACCCTGGGGACGGGAACTGGGGCGCGCTGAAGAGGCAGGAGGGGCTGGGGAAGGAGGGAGGGGCGGCCCGGCGAGGGCGGGGAGCAGCGGTGTTTGCAGAGCGGCGGGGAAATCGTTAGATTTATTTAGATGTGCAAACACCCAGAAAGACCCGATTTGAGCTTAAGGGGCGCACACAATTATTCGTTACCAGGGTTTTGATCCTTTGCTTAGGAAACAGCTTCTGGCCAACACACTTAAGAGTCCGGCTCCATGTTTTATTCTGGAAGATCCACCCACAACCCCATGTTACAATCCCCGTGTGTTCGTCATTGTGAACTTCACAGTGACTTGCCCCCTACCCCAGTAAATCAGTCAGTCGCCCTCCTTTTTTGGTCATGTTAAATCTTGTTTAATGATGTAAGCATAAAAGATTTTACCTAGTTAGGTTAATTTCAGCAGCAACGCCGTTAAAAGATATTACCCACAGAAGTTTAACCTCGGGCTGGGCAACTTTCTTCTACCTGATTTTTTCATGTTTCTTTCTGCAAACAGGTACTGTAGTGTCTCCATATTAAGTTTTTAAAAATCAGTCACGGGCATCCTGAGAATTTTATGTTTTAGGCGTCCACTGGAAAAAATTATTTGTGGCAAAGCCTGGAAAGATCTTAAGGTGGAGAGGAAGGGACTATCTTTGTTAAGATGGTACCTGGAAAGTAGGGAAAGTGGATAATTCTCTATACTCAGAAGGCCATGGAAATACTGCTAAAACGGTGTTGGAACCTGCAAGTAGCTGACTTCAAAAAAACCATGCGTGGTATTTTTTGGGGGTGGGATGGGAGGTGAGATTAGGGTGTGTAAGGCGAGGGGCTAAGGGGGGGAAGGCAAAGAAGAACTGCAAGGGTATGTTATTGCTGGGGTTCATCCACAGGCAAAGGACTATTCCGAGGGGGATTAGAGCAGAGGCCCAGGGGAGGGAAATGGAGGGAGAGTCCTGCTGCCAATCAGAAAGCCCACCAGGGACAGACTGGCCCTGGCCCACTGCCTCCGGTCACTCCAGCGGGCAGCAACGTTCGCTGGATGTGTGGACATCCTTGGCCTCATGATAAGGATGATGATGGAATTTTGGGTGAGAAACAGTGTCACTCACCCCTCTAAGGACACTAGTGAACCTAGGCAATAGTTATCCTGGGACGCAGCTTAAGGGGCTCCAAGTCTTGCCAGGGGGATGCTCAGCCAGGCTCTGCCCTCCCTGAGAAGCCCAGGTCCATCTGGGAGAGGGAGTCTGACCTCTGTTCATCCCTTTAGAAGCTGAAAGGGCAGGGCCAAATCTACCGGGGCCCATCCCTCGCTGTCCAGGTCAGGGGGTGGGGGAGCCGGGTGGGAACCGTCCAGTCGGAGAGCTGGAGCATATGACATAACCCCAAGACTAGCCTCAGACTGACAGCGGGGTTGAAGTCCCACTGCTAAAGGGTGTCTCTGTGTCTCCACAGGGCTCGGCGAGGCGTGGGGCCACTCCAGTCGGACCAGCCCCCTGGACAACGTTGGTCGTGAACTGGGCTCACATCTGCTCCAGGTACTGGCGCGGGCCTGCGGGTGGCGCATATGCTTTGCGCGTCCCGGTGCCTGGCCCCCCGCTTGGCTTCTTGTTTCCCAGAAACATGGGATCCTGCCCAGATGGGATCCTCCTGCAGCCCCTACAGTTTCTCCAAAGTTAAAAGGGTTTCGCTCTCTCTGAACCTCGCTGGGTGCGAGTGGCGCCCCGAGAGGCCAAGAGGGAGGCAAGGTGACAGTGGCACGTTGGATTTGAAAGGGAGCTCTGAAAGGCCCTAATTAGGTCGGCTGGACCCAGGGAGAGGGCGCCATTTGACACCATTGGACTGAGGGAACCTGAGCACCCCCAGGCCAAGCTGAGGAGGCCAGGCTGCAAAACCGTCCAAAATGAAGGATTTACACCGGAAATAAGGGGAATCTGGTAGAAATGCCAGTCCATGCTTTCAGCCCGCACATTCTGGATCCAGCTGCGCCTGCAACTCGTTTCATCTCCTCCCTGCAGTTCCGGGCTCTCTCCTCTCCTCCACCTCCCGCACCGCAGCCAGCCCAGGCCTTGCACAGAGAAACTCCCGTGCACACATGTACACCTCCCCAGGGACTGAGTTTATCCAATGTGGAGGCGCCCATCGCCCTGCTGTTTGAAGTGTATACTGTTTTAAATTGCCCGCTTAAGTCGCCTAGCAAATATTTAAAACAGTAAAACTGCTGGTGGCATTTTTAGGCTTGACACTTGTCTCCCACCCTGCACCCCCTTGTTATTATTCAAGTCCACAGCAAGCTTCTCCCATGGGCGCCTCAAACATAGGCAAGCATCCAGGGGGAGTCTGAGCCCATTCTCCCTGGAGGGCCAGGCCTGAGCGTCGCCGGCAGGAGTGCCACACCCTTTCCTGCCCTGCAGCTACCCCACCTCTCCCTCAGTACCAGAGGCTAGAGGTTTTAGTTGCACAGAGTAATGAAAGGCATTATTCACGAATTCCCTCACAGGCCTGGCCTCTGCACCTCTGATTTTAACTAGAAAGGCAGCTCCCTTCCCTTTCACAGGGACAACTTCCATCTGACCTCCTACCCAATCTTGCCATATTACCAGTTAATTTCCCTCATCAATATAAACAAGAGAACAAACCCCAAACAATCCCTCACCCCTTCTGGCTCTTGCCCAATCCTTTCCTCTCTTCATCCCAGACTTATCACAGGACTTAATTACACTTTGAAGTTCCATCACTCACCCTGCCCCACTCACTCCCAAACCCCTGCAGTCCAGCACCTCTCCCAGCCACTGTGCTCTGCGCAGGCTCCAACACATTTTGATATGCAGCATACGCTGCTCATTTCCTATCCTACCTGACTGCATTCGTTTCACAAATACAGGAGGGCCAACTATGTGCCGGAAAGAAAGTCCTGCCTTCATGGGTTTACATCCCAAGGAGAGCAGCCTTGCAAACCCAGGTGCACAGGGTAGTGTAAGAGGTGGTATACATGCTGTGGAGAAAACTAAGACGGGGAGTCCTGGCCAGGTTGCTCATTTGGTTGGAGCATCCATCCTGTACCCCAAAAGTGGCAAGTTTGATTGCCCATCAGGGTGCACACCCAGGTTTCAGATTTGATCCCAGGTCGGGCGCATATGGGAGACAACCAATGGATGTTTCTCTCTCTCTCTCCCCCTCTCTCTCTAAAAATTAATAAAAACGTATCTTCGGGTGAAGATTTAGAAAAGAAAAACAAAGGAGAAGGAGCGGGGCCATGTTTGAGTGGCAGGGGACCTCAGTGAGAAGGTGACATTTGGGCTTGAGGGAGGTGCTATTGCTTACTTGATATTTCCCCCTCTCCTTCAGTTTCTAAGGTACCACACTTTCCTGGATTCTTCTCCCTCTCTGTTTGCTCCTCTGGTTTTCCCATCACCGTCTGGTTGTAAATGCTGACATTTCCTCAAGGTTCCAGCTCTGTTTCTCATCTCACAGCTTCAAGGCCTCCTGGATGATCTCAGCCAACATTATCACCTCAACTCCTTTCCCCACATTTGCATGACTCCAGCTGGTTCCTCCAGCCTAGACACCCCTCCTAAGCTCCAGGCCTTTATTTCCTGCTGCCAACTGGACACATCCAAATGGAAATATGTGCACCCCTGAAGTTTAGCATCTCCAAGTCAAAAATGCATTATTGTCCTCTTCCAGGCTTCCACCCACACAAAAACTTCCCATGCTTCTCTAGATTTCCAGTCTTGGTTAATGGTGTTACCCTCTACTCAGTAACACTGAAGTCAGTCTCAGCTTCTCTTTCTGCCACCATAAATTCCACAGCCAGAACCATCTTTGACTTAGACTCTGCTTTCTGATCACCTCACCCCCATTCTTTCCTCCTATAGGTGACTGTCTACATTCTATCAGAAAGACACACACACACACACACACACACACCCCACATCTAAGCATAGTATTCCTCTGCTTAGAAACCTCTTTTGGAACCCTGATGCCTACAGGAGTATCTCCAAATGCCTCAGATTGATATCTCAAACTCTCCAAAAATCCAGCACTGGTATACTCCCTCAGCACTCTCTCTGGTGCATCAAAATAATCAGATCCTCTCTCCCCCTTTGGCACATTAGTCCTTCTGCCTAGGATGCCCTACTCCTGTTCAAGCTTCCTCTTCAAGCTTCCTCTGCTCAAACAGCACCTCAAGGCCTCTGATTCTTCCCCAGGCCTCTGGCCACTCAGCCTCTGGGCCCCCACAGCACTGTCTATTCATCCCTGTGGTCATTATATCTATCTTTAGACCAGCCTTTAGGCCTCTACTGGACTTCCAGCTCCTTGAGAGGAGGATCTGACTCATCCTTGTCTCCACTGCCTGGATTGAAGCCTCCTTCACAGAAATAAAAGGACAGTGAAAGTCTAAGACTTGCCTTCACAGAGAGCCTGTCAGTTTGATGCATCAATGTAAACACACACACACATCACACTATAGCACTAAAAGCCTCTCATCCCCTAAATCCCTCTCTCCCCGACTCTTTTCAGAGCCACTGGCCAGCTGCCTTCTGTCTACAACTTTTCAGACTGCCAGTCCTTCACATCACCCAATGGCTGCTGTTTTCCAAACCCTGCTAGTACTCTTTTCATTAAAAGATGCTGTCACTATGGGGTCCTCCAAGACTGACAGAGGAAACTTCTGGTTCTTTCAGTGATCATCACTCCAAGAACCTAACTCACCTCTTATAGCAGGCGAATATTTGTGTGTGTGTGTGTGTTACAGATATGTCTGCTTTTTCTATTTCGGTGGATCCTGAATCTTGGAGGGCAGTAGCCTTATCCATTACTTCCTCTGGGTCTCTTCCAGTGTGCTGCATTTCCCAGATGCTTACAAATTTGGAAAAAAACAAAAGAGGGATTCTTGTGGCTGGTTTTCTATGCCCTATTTTCTGCCATTCCCCTCTCTACTCCATCTCTCTGCACTTCTGGCTGTGCATCCCTAACTTCTGTCCCCTTCACCCCAATTTATCCCAGTGTCCCAGAGGGCTCTCCATTGAACTCTGTTTCTATCTCCCCAGACCCTGGATGGTTTTATCTTTGTGGTGGCCCCAGATGGGAAGATCATGTACATCTCAGAGACAGCCTCAGTCCACCTGGGTCTTTCTCAGGTAGGTGAGTGGTCCACACCTCTGGCCTTCAGTGTTTACAACCAGAGCTAGAGGCAGGAGGTGAGGGGTGGGAGGGCTGTCCCAAAAGTTTTATACGTGCAATTTTGGGGGGCTGGAAACATCTCAGCTGGCAGGAGGGCTGGATCTCTCCCTTTCTCCACTTCCCTTACCCTTTAGCTTCCAACCCAAGCCCAATCAATAGTTACCTTTTTGAGTCCCTATCACAGGCCAAATAACATGGGAGATGGGTTACATACTTATGTCATGCTGTCTTCTACAGAATATTTCTGGGGAGCCACTACTACTACTACTACTATTTCCTTTCATGGATAAGGCAACTGAGGCTTAGATAGGCTGCAAACAGCAGAACTGGAATTAAAACTCGGGGTGACTCTTCAGTTCTGGCTCCTGTCCCCACAATCCTGTGGATCTCCTGGCCCAATCTTCCAGTCTCTCCATGTGGCATCCACCACTCCGAGACGGTGACACCCTCCTCTTTACAGGTAGAACTGACCGGGAATAGCATTTACGAATACATCCATCCCGCGGACCACGACGAGATGACAGCGGTTCTCACTGCCCATCAGCCCTACCACTCTCACTTCGTCCAGGGTAAGGCAGAGGTGTGCCTGCGACACTCGCGCCCCCTGCAGTCCGCCCGTGGCTTGTCTCCAGTGAGCCAGGGCAGGGTCCCTGGCCCTGCGCCGCCTGTCTCACGTCCCGCGCCCCCTCCGCCCCTCTCTCCTAGAGTACGAGATCGAGCGCTCCTTTTTCCTGAGGATGAAATGCGTCTTGGCCAAGAGGAACGCGGGCCTCACCTGCGGTGGCTACAAGGTGCGTGGCCGAGAGGGAAAGATCCCTGCCTCCTGGTGGCTGAGAGGCCACTTAGCCAGGTGTAGGCGCAGGGGGCAGGACAAGAGGCACGTGCCTCACGGGAGGGACTTTCCTGTCCCCGACCGCCTTGGAGGGCTCCCCAGCCCTGTCCGCGCGCTCGCGGCCACCAGCCACCCGAGGGGCGCATCACGAGGGTCTTTGAACTTTGTGAACACCTGGAACTGCGTTTGAAGACAGTTTCCCTGGGTCCGGATACTGCCCGGCTCTGGGGCTCTTAAATCTGGGGTCCATAATGGGCTTTAGGGATGTGTCAAGCGTCTGAAATGTCGGTCGCTCCTGTGAATTCCTAGAGTTCACTCATGGAGTCAGATTCTGACCCCCAGAGAGGTTAAGAACCAGAGCTTTAGGTCAAATCCCTGGTTCTCGGGTTTAATGAGATAAAACATGCAGGTTGCAGGGCACCGCTTCGCCGTCCTGGTGCGTTAGGGCTGGCAGGGCCCAGGCCTCTGCATTTTTACAAGTCCCCAGGTAAGTGGAGTGAGGCACTACAGTCATTTCCTTGAAACACCTTGGAGCCCCAGGAACTTTGGACACTTGAGCGTGGGGGCGTGGCCTACAGGGCCTTTGTGACTTAGCTGAGTCTCAACGTTTTAATCCCTTCCCCACCTTTTTGGGTGGTTTCCTGGCTGAGTGGCTGAGTCTGGCCCCATCACCCTCGGCCGCAGGTCATCCATTGCAGCGGTTACCTGAAGATCCGCCAGTACAGCCTGGACATGTCCCCCTTCGACGGCTGTTACCAGAACGTGGGCCTGGTGGCAGTGGGCCACTCGCTGCCACCCAGCGCCGTCACGGAGATCAAGCTGCACAGCAACATGTTCATGTTCCGCGCCAGCTTGGACATGAAGCTCATCTTCCTGGACTCCAGGTGGGT